CCCCGGGCCCCCTTGTGCGTCCTGACGGTGGCCCTGGGGCGGCAGCAGCACTGGCTCCGGTCCTGTGGCCGTTTCCCGACTGCAGCCTGCTGGGCCCTGGGTGCTCAGCTCCCCCCGAGGCTGCAGGTTTTCCCCAGTACCTGTGAACTGCATGGTCTCCAGAGAGAGCCGAGGGCCCTGAGCTGGGGCTGCTTCCTGGGAGCTGCTCGCTGGGGACAGACCCCACAGCCCCCCGGGCACCAGCTGCCAGCCCAGCTCCCTCCTCTTACCCTGGGGGAGGATGGGGCCACCTGGTAAACGTCCCCCCAGCAGTCCTGTGTGTCCTGCCAGGGTGGGGGCAGCTCTTTCTGCTTTGGTGCTCACCTTTCCTGCTGCCACCCAGGCTCCGCAGCCTCCTGCTGCTGTCCTGGGAGCTGCTGGCTGTGGGGGGACCAGGCATGGTGCAGCCCCCGGGTTCCCATCAGCCCAGGCTGGGAGCACCATGCTGCTGACAAGTGCTCCAAGGGGTGAGTTTGGGCCAGAGGCACCCGAAGAGAAGCCATGGGGTGCCCAGAGAGCCCCATGGCAGCAAAGCCAAGGCTGTAGGAGAGAGCCGGGGTGCTTCTACCACCTCAGCTGGTGCTGGACCTCTGGGAGCAGCCCTCCGTGGCTGCCTCCCACCAGCATCTCTGCTTCCCCACCAGCCCCGGAGGTGTGCCAGGGGCCCAGCCAAGCACACACAACCAGCGGGGAGGAACTTAGTTATCCTTTTATTTATAAACAAATCAATGTAAAATAAGTGCAGAGGAAAGCACTGGCTGACCCCCGCATGGGGACCTGTCTGCAGCGGGCCAGCAGGATCAGCGTCAGGTGAAAACGAGGGGGTGTCCTGGGCTGATGCCGTGAGCAACGGGGCCCTGCGAGTGGCCGACACCCCACGTCCCTCCAACCACACCGGTGCAGCAGCAGGGACTGCAGCACAGACTTTGCTGTACAACAAAAAGCTTTTTTATTACTTTGGGGTAATTTTTTTTTTTTCAACTTTTCCCCTTAGGGGTAAACCTGATCCAGTGCAAGAGACTGGAGGGTTGTTCACCACGGGGGCCCCTTCTGCTGCTGGCCAGGGCTCTCGAGGGCGGCAGGGACGAGGGTGCGAGACATTGCTCTGGATGCAGAGAGGGTGAGCTAAAGGCAGGAGAAGAGAGAAGTGCTTGCAGCGGAGATCCCCATCCCAGCCCTTTGGTCACTGCAGAAAAGAAGCGTGCGTGGGAGCGTGCTGCAGCTGCACGCATGGGCACACGCCTGGGACACCCCTCGCCTCCACTGCACCTCTCCCCATCAGCCCTTCCCTGGCTGGTCCCAGGAGATGCGCCAGGGGACTGGCAGCCCCTGTTCCTGAAGGCAGCCCCCAGGGGATGCAGCGGCATGCCTGGGTGGCCTCTGCTCCAAGATGCCTCTTGCAGCTGCAGTAGCGTGTCTGGGACAGCGGGTTACCACTCAAGTGCCATCAAAAATAAATACATTAGACTGTCTGAAACAAACAGGTGCCGCCACGCAGGGCAAAGACCTCACAGGAAGAGAAACGCAAGGACAGGCTGCTACCTTGGGATCCTCTGACTTGCCAGACCCAACACCCTCTCGCACACGCTGAGCTGGGACGGACCAAAACACCAGAGGACCGGGAGGGCCCCTGGGAAGACAAACCTTTGCAGCTCTGGGTAAAAAATCTCCAAGAGTTGCAAGTTCAACAACAGGTAGAAAAATCATTTTGTCATTTTAGCAGACAATTCCTTACTAAAAAAAAATATTTTTTCTTCAAAAAAAAAACCTTCAAAAAAAAAAAAGAGAGAAGGATCAGTTGAGTTCTGCAGCATCCAGCCAGCCTTCAACACCAAACCAGGCCTGTCCTTGCCACAGGCATGCCAGACTCAGCCACACTCCTCGGCTCTCCCTCAGCTCGCTCCACATTCCCAGGCAGCGCTGTGTGCTGCCACACGGACTCCCCAGTCAGAAATAAATACGAAAGCCTCCATGCCCAGCCTGGCATCCCCAGCCGGAGGAAGGCCGGGAGCTGAGGGGCGGGCAGAGCTTGGGAGGTCAGTCACCCCAGGATGGGCAGCCCTGCTCCTCCCAGGCATGGAAGACGGGGACAGTCACGGCTCTGAGCTCGCCGCAGTGCTTCAGGGGCCGAGCACAGGTCAGGGGAGCTGTCCCCCTCGCAGCCGGGCTACCCGGTGAAGTGCAAAGTGTTCAGCCCCCCTGGCCTACCGCCCTCTGAAAGGACGGGAAACGAGGGCCACCCCGAGCAGGCAAGGCTGGGAGCATATGAGCCATAGTGAGAGGGAGAGGAGCTGGTGCAAGTGCCCAGTCCCCACAGGCTCTGTCCAGAGCTGCTGCTCCATCCCGGGGAAGCAGGACCGCAGAGAAGCGCTGGCTGGGCAGCAGGGCGAGACCCTCCCCTTCCAACAGGACGCCCATGACTCGAGTCCGGTGCGAAGCCCCGGGCCAGCCATGTGCCAGCCTCCTCCCAAGCACCTGCTGGGGCCTGGCTGCTGGCGCAGGGGCAGGTGGGCGGCTGGACCCCTGCAGCAGGGCTGGGGTGTCGGCGAGGTGTCCATCTGCGGCGTAAATGGGTGTGTGTGCATGCGTACCTGTCAGCAGGCGAGCGCGGGTATAGATGGCCAGGAGCGGAGCTTCCAGGATCCATCCTGCCAAGTGTCCTCTCAGAACTTGCCTTGCTTTAGCTTGTCGATGTGGTAAGTGAGCTTCAGGGCTGGCCCCAGCTTCAGCCCCATGTACTTCATCATCATGTCACTCCGCAGCAAGAGCAGGGCCTTCCCGTCAATCTCCTGCAAGGAGAGGAAACAGCAGCACTACACCTCTGAGCCCTAACCCTGCCTGCTGAGCCAGGCCGTGCCCAAAATGACTGCTGAAGCAACATGGCTGGGCGTGAGAGCACTGCTCAACAGCAGAGGGGGGCTGCACCTAACTGCAGCATCCCAGCGCCGGCATCCCTGCATCCCGCCCTGCCTGCAGCACGGAGGTTCAGCCTTGGATCCCCATATGGTGGTGAGAAATCTGCTGGGTGATAAACACCCAGAGCCATGTCCTGCTGGTCAGCAAATCCTGGAGGGAGCTGGGGAGGAAGGAAAAAAGGGGGGGTTTCCCTGACAGGGGAAAGATCAAGGCAGCAGTGGTGCAGGGGAGCAGTCTCCCACTCAAGGGCATCATAACCCCACTGCAGGAGAAACATCTGGGGAGAGGATGCGCTGACCCTGACAGCAGTCCTGCCATACTGACACAGCCCTGAAGTCAAGGCTGAAGAAGGAGGCAAGGGACCAAACTCCGTAAACCCAAACTGCATGCAAAGCAAATTTCTGGAGTTTCTAAGCAAAGTCCCAGCAGCTGGCAGAGCAACGGTGGAGCATCTCATCTCCAGCAAGGCTGATTTCAACACCACAGCTTTCAAAAGCATCTGATGCTTTACAGCTGAGCCAGATGCATCCCTCACTGAGGCTCAGGAGGGGAGGGATCACGAAGCTTGAAAGAAGAACAGCTTTGCACTTAGCATCTGTGACTAGAAGTTTTCCAACCCCTTGCAGCACTCCTTTCCTTGACCTGGTCCTGGCTTAGCCCAGAGCTTTGCAGTGGACAGGTTCTCATGACGAAAACATTAATGGACTTATAAATGAAAAATAAAAATCACAACCTTTACCAACAGAAAATCCTGCCTTACGTCAACGCTCAGTTAGGTCTCACACTTAGTAAGATCTCCAGTACCAGGTTTGTTGTGCTTCCCCCTTCAGATGAAAGCAAAGTTCTTCCTCAGGACTGCCAATACAGGAGACTTTCATCCCTCAGCAGAGCTGAGCAATCTCTTGCATAATTAAAACAAAACATTTTTCAATTACTGGTGGTTCTAAAATAGAACTAATTAAAAAAAAAAAAGAAAAAGAGAGTTTTGTCTCAGCCCAGCACAGAGCAAGAAGCAATCTGTCCACCTCTCCTGCCTGGGGAAGAGAGGTATTTTCTTCTACTGCTCTTCTGACTTCACAAGCACCACCAAGTGTAACGCGGACTGAATCAAAAGCCAGAGGGAAGATGAACTGTCTGGCAGGAGTCAGGATGTGGAGCTGCCAAAATTCTTGTAGCTTTAATTGTACAAACTCCATGCTGTATGTCTGCAGCTGTTTTACACCTAAAGACATGCATAAGAACCAGAGCCATGAGACCCCTTTTTATAGGAAACAGGGGAGTTTAGCAGCAACACACCCAATAAATTCCACTTGGAACATGTTTCTTGCCAGGAGAAATTTGCTGTGAGGTGAATATTAAGACTCCAGGATAAAGAGGGTTTGTGTTTTCAGCACTAGGGTTCAAATCCAGCTCAGAGCTGAGCTCCCCTTATGCACAAAGGCTCGGAGCTTTAACTGGGCTGTGATGTCCTCCCCTCCGTGATTTCTGAGTAAGAGGATCCCAAGCCTGAACATGATACGAGCAGGATTTATGAGGATGTTTTTCTTACCACAAAACTCCAGCCGGTACAAAGTGCTGCTGTTCTTCTGGCTCTCCTAGATTTTCCTTGTGTGATGATCTGCCCCCTTCCATATATAATATATACATACACACACATATACACACACACAGACACACTTACATGTTTTCGAAAGAGGTCAGCGTGGGGTCCCAGCTGTGGATCCGCTTCTCGTATGAACTGCATCACCTCCTCCACCGTCCAGGATGAGGGGTCGCGGCTGCTCAACCGTGAGACGTCTCGAGATCCAAGGTATCTGTCTGAACCTGGGGCGAGTTCCGAGACAGCAACCGTTACCCCAAGTATCCCAACAGTGTCGCTCCAGCAGTTATTCACCCTGAAGCTACCATTCAGTCTCCTCTCTCAAAGCAACGGCAGAGACAATATGAAAGGCACGTCCCAACCGTGCCCCAGGGATTCCTGCGGCACAGTTCTAGCACCGAAGCCTTATTCTCTTTTCAGGGCAGCCTTCTATACTGAGCCCTTTTCCTTGCTGTAAACCCCAATTTCCCCTTACCCCCCTTCAGCTGAGTTTGGTCCCCCCATTCCCACTCTTCCTTGCCCATCTACTGACGGTTCCCACTTTTGCAGAAGACAATCCTGCATTCCCACTTCTCTCCCCACGCAGTTTCTCTCCTTGCTCCCCCGCTCTGAACACCACCTTTAGCAATTTTAACACAGCAAAGAAGCTGTTTCATTGGCTGCATTTTCTGATGGACTGAGCCCACAGGCAAAATTCTGTTGTCTTGAAGCACCGCCCAAGCTAACAAAAGTCCTGCTCTCAACACGCTGGCATTGGCACGGCCTGTGGTTCCAGCTCTCTGCCTTTATGCACAGATGTGGGGGGAGGCAGATGGATCAAGGCATCAGCAGCCTGAGCTTTTTAGACACTTTAATTGATGCTGTGCACCTACAATTACAACTTTTTTTGCAAACATCTGGATTTGACATGTGCTGATTTACTGCAATGAACAGATCTCCTGCCCCTATTCCTCCATACAGACAAGCGTCGCTCGTGCATTGGCCCGTCCTGGGCGCCCGCCCCAGCTCCCAGCCTCGTCAGACAGCTCTTGACCCCCTGGCTGCTCCCGATCCAGGCTCACAGACTCAGATGCCCATTTATCACTTTGACAGCCCCCTGCCCACGCTCACAAATTCAGCTCCTGCCCACTCCTTCCTACCCACTGACCTAGTCACCACGCTGAACGAGTGACCCTGCAAGCATCGCCTCTCCGTACTTCCTCCCACCCATCCGCCACATCTCTAGAGCTACTGTTAAACCTGACAGACTATCTGTCCAACAGCATAGAGGCCAGTCTCTGCTACTTGCTGAAGTTAGAAAGGTGTAACTGGAGTTAGAAAAGCCCTTTATTGCCAAATTTACAATCAGAGGGCTGGCTTCTTAACTCTCTTACCCCCAGAGCTAAGCCTACGCAAGGCAGAGGTACTGCCCTGGGTGAGGCTAGAGGGTTGGTGCAGGTGCCTGTATCCTTGCAGGCGATAGTCTCTGGAGCTCCTGCTGTGGCTGGATGAATTGACAGAGTTCAAGGCAGAGTCCATGGGGTCCAGGCGAGGCTCCAAGGGTCCTGGGAGGCCATCTCCCAGAACAAAGGTTTCACCTGGAACGCACCAAGCTGCAGTCAGTGCACCCGAACGCCACACAGCCCGAAGTTACCACTCGGCAGCAGAAAGTAGAACCACAGCAAACGCAGCGCTTGTGTGCGGCTGCGAGGGCAGGGTCAAACCACCGCGTTGGTGGTCTCCTTGAAAGCACAGAAATTAAAACAGGCACTGCTACAGCCCTGCAGCCTGGTGTTTGCCTGGCAAATGCCAGTCCAACCAGTTAGCAGTGATAATGGTTGGTACCCAGACTGGAGGAACGCTACTCTGTTAATGCCACCACCAGCTCTGGCTTGTGGTCCCATGTCCTTACAGCTTCCCTTTGGTGGCAGTGGGGCACCGCGGTGGCAGGAGGTGGAGGGCTGCCCATGCTGGATGCCAAAGGACGCAGGACTCGCACAACAGCCCTGAGCGGGGAGAGAAGGCTCCCTGAGATTCGGGGTCAATCACTGCACATTACCGGCTTTAGCATGCAAGGTAACCGATGGGGCAGTTGGGCCTGGGGGGGATACTTAGTAAGATTCATGCTGTAGCCCGGATAGCAGCACACATGCAGAGCGGAAGGGAGCAGCAGGCTCCTCGGAGCAGCTCAGCTGCACCACCACAGCCTCTCACACTGTGCTGATCCTCCAGCTCCAAAAGCAAAGTGCTGGTGACCAGCGGCTCACCCCTCCTGACCTCCTGCTGTCTAACCAAGTCAGTGACCAACACCCTTTGCTGGGACATGTGCAGGAGGGACAGGGCAGAGGGCTCTCCCTGGGCAGGGGTCCCTGTGCGAGACTGGCTTCCTTGCCCTCTCTTCCAGATACACATTTAATTTTCAGCTGTCGGTGGCCATATTAGGATGGAGGGGCTGAGGAAGCTATCCAGGGTCATATATGGTATTGGATGAACCAGTAAGATCTCCCTTTGCTGCTATACTGTGGCAAAACATGTGTTTGTAGATTTTACTATTGCACACACAACCTAGTCTCAGTCCAGGTGGACCCGATGCCTCATGAGTCATCCTCAAATACCTGCATTCTTTATTATGAGATACCTGGCAAGTTCGTACAGCTGAAGAGCAAAGCAGCTCCTGCCATGAGGGGTATTGCCTGTGCACTCTAGGCTGGGCCACCTCATCTATTTGGGAGCTGGAGCTCCTCTACCAGTGTCTGTAGAGACCCTGACATCAGCTCACAGTCCGGAGCTGCTGCCACTCAAACACCACAGTAGGTGACAAGGATGAAGAAACCTGAGCAACTGCCCCAGCCAGGCCCTGGGCTTCTTCCCCGGGACTTCCAGGAGGTGAGAAGCTAGCACAGCAAGGCTGTGCTTAACTGGGATGGTGGTGAGGGCACAGAGCTGATACTGCAGCCTGTGAGACCCAAAAGATGTTGAGATCTTCCCAAACTTTCCTGCTAAGCTGATGCTGCCATGGTCCAGTGGAGGGAGATGCATCTTGCCAGAGCCTGGAGCAGTACCTGAGCGTTGCAGAGGTTGGGCCCCCCTAAATGGGGCAACCTCTCTTGGAGGCACGTTGTTTTATCTGGTTCCTATGAACTATACAACTACTCTGCGAACTGGGATCCTCTGGTTTTGGTGCTTCTGCTGTCTGTGTTTGAGCAGAGATCTCCGAGGCTGTTCGGCTGGAGGCAGCCAGCTCATACCCTCCCTGGCTTCATCTCATAAGGCTACAAAAGGGAAACATCCCTCCCTGTTTGGCAATTCAGTGAAGCAGATGTGAGGTTATCACCTGCGTAACTGCAACCCTCCATCTCATGGGCTTTGTTACCCTGCACTTCAGGGATTTCTGCCTTTTAGGTCTCTGGGACACTCTCAGAAACCAGCAGCACATCCTTACAATCTCATGTACAAACGGTGCTGATGTGAAGACTGTTACTGGCCCAGTGCCCTGTGCTGGCCCGCATGTCAGTAGATGTGTTTTTGCTTGCTCTCTATACGTAAAGGAGGCTTTTCTGACTCATGATTATTCTTGAGCAACTTTGGACACCTCCTTCACTCCTGTACCACTTTCCTACCACCCCATTTCAGCACAAGACTGGATGCCAACCCAGCACTGAGCTGGCTGCTCTGGCCCAGGGGTGGACAGAGATTCTCTGGCAGACCTACACAGCGGATGTGACTTATACCAGTGGTGCTTTTTAGTAGCTTCTTCATAGCAACTACATTTGGTTTCCTCTCCAACAGGACAGGTCTGCTTGGGTTTTAAACCCAAACCACCTCCCACTAAACGGGTGACGTCTGACTCACTGGAAAGTGCGGAGGCATGAGAGGGGCCAGCAAGCACAGCACTCTGCATGGTCTGGATGCTCTGTAACAGGGAAGTGGCTGTGGGCATAGGAATGGGCCTGTGCTGCACATCTCCATCCTCCAAGGCAACCCAGCACCCTCTGCAAGGTGATGCACAGCCTCAACTTGCCAGAAAGACCCATTGTCACAGATGTACAGGGTCAGGCAAACATGTGTGTCCAACTGCTTGCAAAGACCCTAAAGCTCACACAGAGGGGATTTGTCTTGGCAGAAGGAATTTCTGAGCTCAGCTAGCGAAGATTACAGCTTGGGAGGCTGGGAGACCACATGCACAGGTTCACATCGGTGCAATGCTAAGGAATGAAAACTAACCCTCAGAAAATATTTAACTCAACAATCAACACACTGTCGTTATTCTGATGTGAATGCGCTGTGATGCATTCTTCAAATATGTGATCATGTTTTCACATGTGCTTATGATCACACATCTGAAGAAGACGATGAGGCCATGCAACTGGGGAGCAAGAGGCAGAATTGAAGATGCATGTTCACCCTCAGGTTATGTATCACTGGACTGCTGAGTGCTTGGTTGTGCTGAAAATATTGCAGCAGATCTGGAGGCTTCTTGATAGGGTCAATGCAAGAGAGATTTAGGATTTTCTTAAAAATACAAACACACAGAGAACTGCTGAGATGAATGATACCTCCACAAAGGGGAGAGGGAAACAAGGCAAGAGGGGAATGATTACAAGCCCTGTGAATCATCTGTAGCAGAAGTCAACATGCTTCTGCAAGCGGTAGGACACAGACTGCGTTCAGGCACATACACTATCCAGAATCCTTTTGCCCTTGATAACTAGGTTTGGAGTGAGGAGGAGGTGACTGTAGAATTTCTTATACAAACTGCTAGTTTTAAATAAAGGCTTTCATTTGGAGCATTGTAGGAAAACATGCTACAATTAGTGGTGGAGATGCAGGGAACAGATAATTAAAGTTTAATTAAACAAATAGTGCTATAGATTCAAGAGTGCTTTTTACTGCTAAAACATGGAGTTTGGCCACAAGCATAAATCTGATTTGCACAACTACTAAACACCCACTGTTTCCAACAAATGATAGTCTTTGAAAAGCAGGTCCCCAATGTGCTGGAACTGCAGCTTTTTAGCAAAAAGTTACAGAAATGCCTCTGGATGCAAGAGGAAAAACAATGTAAGGAGTGAGATCCCCTCTTTGTCTTCCTGACTCCTTGCCAAAGTCAGGATGAATGAAGACTTCCCACTGCTACTCACTGCCTTCAATTTGGCAAACTGGAAACTGTTCAGGTACCATTGTCTGTCGTACTGCTGAAGCCAGAACATGCTCTGCTGGGGGGAGTTCATCACCATGAGAAGATGTGAAAGCTGGGCAGACGGGGTACTTAGGGACAGGGTTCAGTGGTGGGATGGCAGGGTTAGGGTAACGGTTTGGCTTGATGATCTTAAAGGTCTTTTCCAACCTAAACGATTCTATGGTTCTATGATTCTATGTACCTCTTTGCTCAAGAAATATTCAATATCTGAGTATTTCAGGCTCATTTTCTTAAAATATACCCTCTGAAATGCAAATATTCCTGCTTGTACTTAAATTTCATGGTGGAGGAGGATGATTAGGCTTTTAGCTATGGGATAAAAATGAATTTCTAGGTGGAATTTTGAACTACACCTCATGTTTCCCTGCCCTGTACACCCCCTGCTTGGACCAAGAACAGAACAAGACCAAGTTGCTGTAGGAAGTTCACATGCCAACAGGATCATCACTCTCACGTGAGGGCAGACTTTCTGCCCGCTTGTCTTCTACAGAAGATGCTGGCATACTCTGGGCATCCAGATGGCATGTCCCATTCAAAGGCCACAAGATAACTGAATAGACTTTGAAGTAGACTAAGAGTCAGTCTTGTAGACAACCTAACATAGATTCCTCCTTGGAATTACCCATTACAGAAGCCTTCTCTCTTCGCTGACAATACAGAGAGCGTACGATACTCACCGCCTAACCAAGGCACCTTAATCTTTAGAGCACACCATCACGCTTCAAGAACAGGTGAAACACTGCATGTTCCACCTGCTGGCAGAGGAGGAGCTGACAGGCTTTGCTAATGGTTACCTAAGTGCAGCGGTTGATGTATTGAATGTCAAGGAGACCAGCAAGGATGTGTACCTAGAGGTGAGAAACAGACCGTGCCTCAGGGAACAGGTTTTTTCTTGTCAATATGCTGGAACAGATGAGACAGTCCCACATGTCACATTGTTTTTCGCTTCAGCTACGTGACAAACCTACAATTTTAGTCAATGTAGATACCAAGGCCACTAGAAACTGTCCATCACAGGGTGCAAGTTCAGATCATCTGTGCTTAGATACGGGGTCAGTAATCCTGAAGAGCACAGGGCACAGTGATGGATGGAGCCTAAAATTACACCACAGCTCATGGGAAGCTGTGCACTCTCAAATCTGGGATCAACAACCCAAGCCCAGCAAAGTGAGCAAGAACCAGGGAAATGGTGATTCTAAAGGGACAGCAACAGAGCACAAAGCCACTGAACTATGAGCCCAGCCAAGAGTCTCCAGCAATTTTTCAGGGACATATTACAAAGAATTGAGACTAACACCTTAGCAGATTTCACTGTCAATTAATTAAAAGGCTTCAGTAAGGTTGAATCTCCAGTCTGCATTATGGAATGTTTGCAGTTCAAACCAAAAGGGAAGGTGGAAGTGTATTTATTGAAGACTCCTGCTCAGGCTCAGGTAGTCCTCCAGCTACCTGGACCCCCTGGAAATCTCCCACTGCACATGCAAGGGACACCTATGGACCACAAACCAAAGAGGACATTTCTGCAATTGCTTTTGAGAATGCAGCACAGCACATCTGCGCCAGCGTTACCCAATGGACACTGCGGGAAGCAGCAGCGCTGCAGGATGTGATTTGATCTGGTTTAGCTGGTGGAGCACAAGCTAGTGAGACCCTCCCTGCTACTTAGGGAGGACTGTGAGGAATAAGATGGGATCCTGGGAAAAGGCAGCAGGTTCCTGGCCGTACAGCTGCACATCAGCATCTGCACAACACACTGCAGCAAACCATCGTGGAAAAACTCAGGGGAAGATTGACTGAAGCAACTGGGCAGTTTTATGACCGTTAATACCATGCATAGCAAAGGAAGCTAAAATATGGGTAATTAAATCCCAGATGATATGGTATTAGATGATGACTATCAGGGTTAGGAGGAATTCTCCCTGTGTTCCACATGTCTTACACAACAGCTTGGGGAACCTGCTTTGGCATAGAATGGTTTCTTCACTTCTCTCCGAACCGCCAAGCACCAACCCATGTCAGAGACAAAGCAAAGCACAATTCCTAAACCCACAGCTTGATTTCGCATGGCAAATCTAATCCTGCTGTATCCATTTCAAGTCGCTATAAACAGCCAGCTTTGGGAAGAGACGCTGTGCTCACCTTCCAAAGGGTGACGGTCATTCTTTGGTAACTTGGGGGAGAGAGGAGCACTGTATGGAGGGGAATCTTGGGAATATCGCTTTGTACCCCGGCCTGGTCCCTGCAGAGTGCCGTCTAACGAACTGCTTCTGTCTAGGAAAAGAGAACAAGCCCTATTTAGGAGTGGAGACTTCCTGGGAAATTCAGTCTTGCCAGAGTGACTTGAGAGTCGCATGCACCGCCAGCCTGGTAACAGCCTGTTAAACTGCAGTCCAGCACATCTGCCAGTGCTTAACATTTTATATTTTGCTTTGCAAGTTTTATCAGAGAAAAAGGATGGCAAGAAACCTAATGAAGAATCTTAGCCACATTCTATATTTCACCCCAAATATCACCTCTGATTGACTTAATTCCATTTCTCCTTGTTCTACCCCTTGGCTCATCCTGAATGATTCCTGCTCCTCCTCACTTTTCACCTTTCAGATGCACATATCCCTTGGACAATTTGCAAACAACCCTTGGATGATTTGCAAACACTCTGTGCCATACACAGTGCTTGATTAAACCATACTCAAATTTTTAATCTTTCCCCAAATGGGTCCCTCAAGCACTCCAGCTGTCGCTGCTGCTCTTCTCCAAATGCTTCCCAATGACGGGGTTCTCCATATTGTACACAGCAGACAAGACACCAGGCTGGGCTGCGAGATGTCTCTGCAGTCGGCTAAAAGCTGCACACAAAATGTCAGTGGGTGGATGAACACAGAGAATGGAAGCGCTAACACGGATGGGAACAGCAGCCAGTCAAGAGATACAGTGGGTGGCAGAGCTGAACAAGGCATGGCCAACTGGGAAGCAATGAAGAGGTTACCCACCAGCCACTGCCTGCCCACGGGGGCCACCAGTGCTCCTGGCTGGCCCCTTCCAGCTGCCCCAAGCCTGGGCAATGTCTGAGCTGCAGTGTTCAAGGTGTGTGGGGAGAGAGGGGTGAAATGCTCGTAGACAAATGCCGGGAGCTAGACAACGGTACAGAGCAGCCTCAACTGCCAGTACAGGTCAGGAACGGGTGCTGGAGGGGTGACAGAAATACGGCAGGGAGCAACTGGGACTGGACACCAAGGGAGATGCATCATGCCAAACAAAGGAACGAAGGTACAGATGGGTGGGAAGCATCAGATGGTCACAATTTAGTTGACTTAACAGAAATACAAAGGTAGAGAAAAGTATCTGTTCTGTCAAAATCCTTTGGGGAAACTAAAAATAAGCTGTTTATACTGAGGCCCTGGGACTCCATATGAGTATGATCAAAAATACCTTTAACATTATTAGAAAGACAAATACTGTCCTCAGGACAAGACCCTGTAAGAAACATTCATTGCCCAGACAGAGATGGGAAACAAATGCTCTCAGTAATGTCTCCGGATATCTCTAAATGCAAAACTGCATTTCCTTCTTCACCCAACAGTCACAGAACCACAACAAAAGGTGATGCTTTTTAAGAGTTTTATCAGGTTTTGGGTTGGGTTATTTTTTCAGTTGGTTGATTTGAAAAGTAATGCGAACACAGGTTATAGAAGATAACCCAGGGAATCACAAGTTATGTCAGTGTAAATTAATGGAAGGATAACCCAAAAGTAGGTCTGTAGTTAGGACAAATTTTAAGAAAATAAAGAAATGGAGTAATACATAGAGCTGCCCTCAGCAGTCATGATGCAGATCATCAGGAAAAAAAAGAAAATACCTTCACTTCAAAAGATGCCATAAACATCATGAATGTGTATCACCAGTGAGGAAATAATCTGGGAGGAAAGGACCCCACATCTAAGTGGATAAATGTTCACTTTAGGAAGGATGCTGGGAACAAGAAGATAATTTACTGGAGATGAAAAGGATCTGCTCAGCATGGAGTTGTATACCTCAGAGGATGGCGGGTACAGGGATGAAGTGAACTTTTAAACTCATTCTGTCTTTTGACACGTTGCAAAGGAAAAGACAGGACCACATTTTCAGCTATAGAAGTAACAAGTGCATGGGAATGGAGCAAGAGGATACCGTGCAGAAAGGTAAAGACTGAGAAAAAAGAAATAAAGGTTGTCCTGGCATGCAAATGATGGGAGAGCTTTGAGGGATATTTCACCTCACCTAACTTGGGAGGTTGGTGGGGAGGAAGAGAAATACATCTGCCCATGTCTGTGTTTGTGCTGTTGGCCACCCCAAGGCAGTCAGGATGGATGCCTTTACAGTCAGTGAGAGTCTTCTCATCTCATCAAGTCAAAGTCAAAGTCAAGGCTCCTACTTTAGGATGCTGTAACTTGAAGACTGGGCTGGTATCTCCTCTCCAACTGCAGAGCGTGCCTACACAACTAGCTCAGGTGTCGATGCCTCTGTGACATCCACCTGCGTTCAGTAAAACAAATCTCACCCTTCCCTTCCAGTGTCAGCCATGCTAACACTGGGGTACACTCGAAGGACAAAAGAAATGGGACAGGTATGAAAGTATACACCACTGACTAAGAAGTGGAGGTCAAATAACTGAACGTACTCAAACTGGGGACATGAGGGTGCAGAGGAAGCCAAGTGTAACTTAAGAAAGAAGGCGCATACGAAACCCTGGGTCTGCTGCAGCAAATTTTAACAAAACTCAAGTGACGCACTACTCAGTGACTGGAAACATGGTGCTAACATTTAAAAAAGAAGGTGAAAAAATTATTTTGGCAACAAAATGCTCACGTCTGACCTCAGTAGTACCATATGGCTTGTAAGAGGTTCTGAAGGAAAGGGTAGGGAAAACACTGCAATTACACATGGCACATACTGGGGTAGGCGTTCACCAGAGACCAACCCAACAGCTAACTCATCAGGGGAAAATGACTGATCTATCACACAAAGGAAGAGTGATCAATCTCCTTTACCTGGAATCCAGCAAGGCATTCAATATGGCAAACCACCAGCAGAGACAGAGAACATGAGGATTACTAGAAGACTTGTTATATGCACAATCATCTGATTTGAGGGGAAAAGCAGAGCACTCAGCGAGAACATGAGGTTAGAGAACAATTGCTAATGAATTTCTTGAGGATCATTCCTTAGCCCAGTTAACTTAATATTTTTATTAATAACTTTTGCACAAATTATAGAGATTCACCCATGAAATCTGCTGATGTCTTCCCACGTCAGGCCAGATAAAGTAGCATTTGAAATTATGCAGAAAAAATATATATAGAACGCAGTACCAGAAAGGAGGTAAATCCAGCAGCAAAATGCAGATGTACACTTGAAGCATTGTCCCATGAAGTGGGAACCTGCAGTTGACAATAACGGATGAGAAGAATGGGGTACATGATCAGGACGGGTCGATCATCACCTGCTACAAGGATACAGTGATGAAAAGTGGCTTCTGGAGACAATTCTTGTGAACACGGTGGTGCCAGTTCTGTGGCACCAGGTTCCCGTGAGCTCTTCCCCAGAGTGCTGTGTGGCACTCTGGTCACCTCATGAAGTTTTATTCAAACCAACACTAGATGAGGAGAGCTGAGAGCCTTTCTTACCAGAGCAGCCAAAAGGCAACCTCCCACGAAGGGTATGACTGCTCTCTAACTACTTCCAGAAGCAGAAGAACTAAGTTAAGCTAAAAGATAATGTTAAGACAAAGAGACATGGATACCAAGTTGCCCAAGAATAAATTTGGGCTAGAAACTACAACATAGTTTCTAAAAATTCAGCAAAAAACCTTGGAGCAGCCTCTAGTGGAAAAGCAAAATCCCCAACTCCAGAGTAAATTAAAGCAACACCGTATGCTGTGGTGCCTGTAAGAACAGGACCCAAGGCTCAATGGTCCAGAAGGTCCTACGTTTGCAGATGGCTCCAGATCAAATCTATCTGTTCACAACATTTCACAGCCCATCCCTGTTCATAGGAACAGCAATTAACTGCCCATTTTCTTGCAAATCTACTGTTTCCTGATGTACAACCTGATCTATTTCCCCTTATTTCCATGATTATGCCTTACTTAGCAAGACAGAATGCCAGGCTGCAGCTGACCTAAAGGCTGCTGCAGACTTTCCTTCTTCTGCCCCAAGCACATGCACAAATTTTCTATGGCATCCACAGTGGTGCTCCTGTAAAGCAAGTCTGTTCTGGGAACTGACACCAGCTCCCAGTCCTAACCAGTGATTGTTTTCCAGAAGAACCAGCCCCACTCAGGCACACAAGCACCTGCACTGCAGAGGAAACAAGGCAGGACCCACAGAGCTGAAGGTGAGACCACGGCACCCTTGACACTTGGTGTGATTTAAGCTGATACACAACTGCATCCTCATTCTTCCATGACCCACCCTAACCTCTCAAAATCGCTGGTACTCTTTCTTTGCTCTCACCAGAAGCCACTGTAATGTGTAGATAACAATGTTTATCATCTTCTTTCAGGTGCTTGAGAAAAATATTAGAGGACCAGATGCCCAACAATCCCTGAGACATCAGTATAACCTATGGTGTTATCACTTCTCTGGACTGTGGTTAATCTTTCTTTAATCCCTGCAAACACTCTAACGAAGAGTTCAGCATGGGCAGGTCTCAGCATTGTGTTGTATCCGGTGCTCTGCCTGAGTTTCCCTGAATTCTGACTTTGGTCTTTATACTTTTCCTCCCTGCCAGGCCGCCCAGCTTTTAGCACGGACACCACTGACATCTCATGGTGGCTAGAAACCACGTGTGTAAGCTACAGGACCCGCTCCATCCAAGCCTGCTACCATGCCCAGACCCTGGGTCCTCTTCCTCCCATTCTGGTTTTGCTCTCTCTCATGACAACAGGGTACTTCCACACTGAAACATGGAGATTTCTTCTAACTGGGGTTCCCTAGAGCGGTAACCTCCAGTCCCAGTAACTAGACATGCTGTTCCTGTACCTGCTGCAGCAGCCAACCCACCTCCTACAGCTCCTCTTCTTACAACACAGCACAGCTCCCTGCACCTGGCATTGCTAGCTCCAGCACGGCTCTGCACAGCCTCAGCCTGCAGGCAGATGATCAGCCATGGAGGAAGCAGACGACAGTCACCCTGAGATCCTCACATTCTTCATGCTGTTGCTAATCCCTTCCCGTGGGCATGGGTGCTTTGTGGGGCGCAATGAAGCACTGTGGCATTAGGCTGTTGCCCTTAAGCTTCATGCTTAGCAACTTTTCCTTAAACAGTTCTTCCTAAGTGCTTATCCTTTTACATTAGAAATTCTTGCTTTTCTCGTGAGAGCCATAATTATCCAAAGGATTATCTTTGGAAAGGCCTCAAACAGCTATTTGCTGATTTGGTGGGCAGAAAGATAGTGGAGGAGGCAAGACAGGAGAGCAGATCAGCACAAGACACTTGTCAAGTATCCTCTCCATGACTGGCATTCTTCCAGCAGAAGCTCCCACAGAGCCCTGCAGCCAGCCCAGGGAGGCAGCTATCACCCCAGAGGTTGTTGCCACTACACAGCACTGTGGGGAAAACCATCTTCTTGTTTTCCACCACTTTCCCTTAAGAGCAATTTTGCAGCCCAACGATTTGCATCATGGCATGAACTATCTTGCTGGGGGTGTTGCTTCAACGCAGTGGAGCGTTAGCCATGCCAAGAAAAACAAAGCAACCTATGCCTCAGATAGCTGCAGCGTGCATCATCTCTGAACAGGCTAAGCTTTCACCGAGGGCTGCATGTGCTAGCTGCTGGCAGCAGATTCACCACCATTTCTAATTACAGTTTACCTGCTACACGCTATCACTCTTCTGTTTCTCACGCAGAGTCTTTCACCTTAATTCCTAACTGGACGAAGCCACTATAGTCAGATTACAGGAAGTGGGAAGGACTGGGGGACAAGGAGAGGAGGGAAGACAAGGAGACAGCACGGATGAGTGGAAACCTAAAGGCAGAGATGGACATCAGACTGACAGGCAGAAAACACAGCTACTTGAATCCTGTGCAAAAAGAGCCCTGCGGGCATGTGCATGACACAAGGTGTGATGCAATGAACCCTGCAGAGAGGGCTCTGAAACACAGCCTGCCTCCTGAGGTAAAGATAAAACCTGGGTTAAGGCACGGAGCACCTGGGGTCCCTACAACGCCATCCCCGCCCCAGCTCCTACCTGGTAGATACCTGTCGTGGTCGTACTCGTGTGAGCGCTGCATGTGGCTGTTCTGAGTGAAAGGCTGGTTCCCAAAGAGGTTGTCACTGCGAAGATTGTGGCAGAGCTTCTCCAGGAAGCGGAGGACGTAGGTGATACTGTTTACTGCTGGCAGGTTCAGAGTGTGCTGTTCCCGATCAAACACAGCTGGAGACAGAAACAAACAGAGCCCAACACGTAAACCCCCAGCAAAGGCAGGAGACTACGCCCAGGGCTGCACAGCCAGCTTCTGTATCTCAGCATCGCTGGTCTAGACTAGAGCAAACAAAAGCCACTGCCTTCCGCTAGCTGAGCGCTGGCGAGCTCGCTTCCCCAGGACAGGCTAAAACCAGTCTGCTGCACCCAGCATCAGGTATGGGGCTGCAGTGCCTGAGAAGCTGCGTTCGAGGGAATGGAAAGGCATTCAAGGAGGGGCCTGCACTCCCAGCATCCAGGTAAACACGGGCTTAAAGGCAAAATTAAAAACCAGGGTGTTTCTTGTCTTTCCGTCAGGAGTTCTGAAAATCCCACCCGTGTCGCCTCCTCCTGGGGCCTCAGGCAGTGCTGGGGGATGATAGGTGAAGCTAACGCTGCCCAGGCTGATACCAGGGCTGCATGCTGCCTTCTCCAGCAGCTGTGCCTGGAGGCCACGCTATCTGCTCTGCTCTCAGTCAGCTGCTAGCTGTAGCTTCACTAGCACAGATGTTTGGCAAGGAAGAGAAGACAGAAATCTTCTGTCTGCCCCTGGCCCATAGCTGCACCAAGCTTCAGGAGAGACATCTTCCAACGAGCGAATTCTTGCAATGACATCTCTGAAGTCAAAGTGCTGCAGGCCAGTTCTCACCTGAGATGACCTCTCCCCCGTGGCCTTGTTTTAAGAAGGAGAAGACTGTTTTCTGATGGTAAGCGCAATCAATGCAGGCTTGTACTGCTTGCTGCAGAACAACAGAAGCTCGAGCTGGTCCAAAATGGTCCGGCAGCTGCTGAACTTTCTTCTTGTCTAGGTGGGGCCCAGTGCTGCCATTCTTGTTCAAGTAAATGCAAACTGCCAAGATGAGAAACGTGTTTGCCATTAACCCATTCAAGAAAGCAAGAAACAGATGCCTAAAATCCAGCCTGAGAGATGCTGAGATTTTAAGACTCTCAAATCACTCACAAAGGGGCATCCACCATGACCGCCTGTCTGCATCCTAACAGCAGAGCCGCTCATAGAGGGAAAACATCTCCAACACCTTCCTGCCTCACACTCGCCTTCCAAGCTGCTGCTGTTTCTCCTACGCTTTCCCCAGCACTCAAGCGCCCAAAAGCAGGCTGCAAAGTGATTCCCATGACAGCCGGGTAAGGCACCTACAATGTTCAAAGCAGATGAAGGAATACAGCCCCCACTTTTTAGGGAAACTGGGTTCTTAAGTTGCTCTGAAAATTGGCCAGTTATGTTCTGGGGAAACAGTGGGCTCAGCTCATATCCAGTGCTTGACCGAACATATAAAAAGCAGCTTTGCAGTGGAGTTTCCTGCCCAAATTCATCTTCAGCTATATCCCACAGCTGTAGCAGAGCATATACTCTGCACCACCACTCCTACTCCTCCCCTGCTCCCTCTTGTCCCCGTTTGCCTCAATATCCTGGCTGAAGCTGAACAGATCATGGTCACTGTCATTCAGCAGTTGTTCTGCATCTTGCTACAGCTTCAGCAGCTGTGCCTGGCATGGTTTGGGAGAGCTCGCACTCTGGACTCACGAGAGGTGCTGCACTCTGTACTGCCTCTGGGCATGACATGCCACGAGAGGTGCCCTTCGAGAGCTGTGGAGTCACTAGTATGCACGTGGTAACTCAGGGAAAGGGGTCCCTGCACTGACCAGATGGACTTCCAGCCATCCTATGACTTCATTATTTCCGAAGTGGACCAAGAGATAAACGAATGGTTGACCTGAACCTGCGTGCCTCTCTTTCTGCCACCACACTATTAGGCCAGCCTTTCTGGAGTTGTAACGTTTGCTGCTGTACAGGTTTAGGACGGAATGGGAGTATCTTGGTGTGTCGCTTTCTGATGCAGCTCCTAACTGTGCAATCTTGTCAAGAATGTGGTTCAAGACCCTTACCTGTGGGAGCCTGCATGGCAGAGCTGGGGATTGTAGCAGCGTCCTGAGGCACAGTGCTTGTGTCTGGTTCTGGGGTACTGGTTGTTGGAGAGGTGGGTGCTGGGTTCAGCAATGTCCTAGGTTTCCTCTGCAGAAAAAGAGGAGATATTTCTCCTTTTACCCCTGCTCTCCTTTACCACCCATGGTCACTACACTCTCTCCTTTGCATCCAACAGACAAGGCACTGTGGAACATGACACACTTCTGATGGTGATGACGGGAAGTCTCAAGAACCTAGTAATTGATATGTGTGTATTTTATAAACCACAATCCTGAAAAAATAACAAGCCTGAGATCTGCCACCTCTGCTTGACTTAGACTAGCTACACACGATGGATGGAAGAGCTTATTCCACCGTTTGGCCACCCTGTCACGATCACAGCATCTGCCATGCTACTTCACAGCTAATGCAGCTCCAAAGACACAGTTTCTTGATGGAAATGATCTTTAGGACACAGACATTCTCTACAGCTCAGGGGCTGGACTCTGAGGGATATTCCCAGCCCACATACACCTTTGGTCTCCTACTTGCTGCAGTCACACAGCCAGAGGCTGAGACAAACGTGCACAAACACACGCATGCACCATCCCATGGCAGAACTTGCAGCACCTGCTTTTCACCCGCCTGCATCAGCATCAGCTTTTACCTTACTGCCAGGCTTGGGGCCTCTCTTTCTGGGGAATTTCAAAGGCTCCACTGACTTGGAGGGTGTAGGCATGGGGTGATGGATTAGCGCTTTGGTCGTTCGACCACGCTTCTTCCCTGTTTTGCGACGCCTTTGCCCTTGTTGATGCCCCAAAACAGTCTTTGGGCTACTGTGCATGCTAGGTTTCTCCGAGTTTACTTCGGAGGCAGGTAAAGGGCTCTTTGGAATCACAACTGAAATAAAAAGAGAAAAAGCAAATATAATTAAATCAGGCGAGAATCAAAACAAGAGCAGCCTCCATCTTTAAACAGTGTCACATGGAAAAACCTGGAGTATTCACAGCCCCCTGAATGGAGGCTACTGCTCTCCATGCCAGAATAAAACCCAAATGCACTGATCCTTGGTTCAGCACTTGAGCTGTGGGACACTGTGGCTTAGCCTGGATGGGCTGAATTCCAGAAGGATCACGCTTTCAGCCATACCTTCCTTCCTGAAAATATCTGGCACCTATGCCTCTTCCTTCTGCGAGTGGTGACCTGCCAGCGATCATGTAAAATGCACTGAGAGCATTCCTAGGGGAACGATCAGTCAAGACCTGCCTGACAGTCACAGGGCCAGTGCTGTGCTGGAAATCCCCTCTCTCCAGTAAAAAAAGTAAAATTTGCTCTGTCCTTAAATTACCAGTGAACTGCAGTGGAAGGTACCAGCTCCAGCCTCGATGCCTGCAAGGACTACTGCTCCTGGCTCATCTCAGTTGGGTCAGCCAACCTGCTCCTCTCACCTACTGCTAGAGGCAAGCGAAGTGCCAGCACACGGTCCGTTCCTTTTCATCGTCTCATGCTTTCCATGACAAAACCAGGTTTCTGGTGTATTTGCCCACAAATCCCCTGAATTTGGTCACTCATCTTTCCCAAGTCCTGCCAAAGGCTAGAGATTAACTGGCCCAGCTCAGCAGACCAATGTTTCCTTTAGATTTAAATTCCTGCTAAATTTAAAAAGAAACAAACCAAAACCCTCCTATATTTTGAAAAATGCCCGGTGACCTTTAGGATGTCTTGTTTCTCAGACCTAGAAACCTCACTGTGCATTCATCACGAGGGCTTTGAATTAGAAAAAAACCCAACCATTCATGAAGTGAGGAGCTTTTAAGTTAAGAAAATCTTGACAAAGGAAACAGTGCACTAAAAGATTGATACCAGGATGGCATGCAGCTCCAACAGTGGCACAACTGTTATATATATATATATATATA